ATGTGAACAAAACGTCATTTTTGAATATCTTTCAATAAGACTCCGCAGGCTATTCTACAAGATTCCAACCCAATTCTTACATAATTTTGTACTACTCAGTATGTACTTTAAAACAACACGAGTTCAACAGAAGTTGAGCCAATTTCTTGGGAGATCAAATCCTGCCAAAATCGTGATTTGGGTCAAAATCATGATTTTACGGAAAGGACTTCTTTTTTGTTCGGGTCAAAATCAAATACCCAAGGTTTAAAAAACTATTGTTAACAGCTGAAGGGCAATTGTACTTACGTTAGTTCCAAAACGGGAGCTCATAAGTCGCTCATAAGGAATAGAAATGCTTATCATAAGATAAGGGGTATATCTGGGACTTGCGAAATTCCTCTGTATTCCTTAACATGCCGAAAAGTGGTTCTGAATGTGTCAGTATATAGAGTACCTATGGTAGTATATACCAACAAAATTTCATGAGTAAAAATGCGATTGTTGAATAATGGCGAAGTATACAATGCACGGGTGCTGCAATGATCATCCTCGTTTTTTTTTCCCTAATGGTGCCTCTGTTATAGTTTGAATATCTCAACCAGGGAACGGTTTTAGAAGCTGAAATTTTTAGCTCTTTTATATCTCACTTAGAGCTACATTAGGGCAAAGTTTCATTGAAATCGGTGAGATCGATTGACCAGGGTTGATTGTCGCTACCGTGCAATGGCTCCTAGGTTTCCAGAAAAAGGTCAGTGAATTCGTAGACAAGCAGTCTATTTTTTCTAGCCGAACAGAACGAAAGAAAACTTGCACATATGCTTAAAGAAGACTGATGTGTGCCACAAACAAGAAAAAGCATTATCATCTATCTGTTCTCATTTCTTAACATAAGTACTTGACCAGCGTAACTAATATTTACAGCTACGGAAGCCGATAGATAGAATGGTTCACCATCCATGTGTGCCGTCATCGGACGGTAGAGCTCGATCCGCAATTGATTACATTGGGCAATCCGAGTACCAGAAAAGCCCATATGAATCGCAGCCATTTGCCTAGTACTCAATCCAATGACTTCAAGTTTTTGATCACCAAAATCTTGTGGATCGAAACGATTGCTTTTGATTGTTGTTGTCGATGGAGCCGCACATTGGTTCGTACCACAATTGTTCAAATTAGCCGATTCATCAGTTTCATGTGCATCGGTCACTGACTCGTGTACATGGACTGAACTCGTCGAAATATGACTGAGAGAATCCTTGTCTTTCTCAACAATCGGTGAATGGTTAAAATTGCTCGTAGTTGAGCGCATTGATGAAGATTTTCCCCACGGATTCGTACCGGACACATAGGCTGGTATGTTGAGGATCAGTAGTGTGTGATAATGTCGTAATGCATCAGTTAAATTTTCACCGTCGCATATCAAACGAATGTACGCATCGAGACTCCACATTCTCGATCGGACGAAGTCATTCAAATATTTGCGACTTTCATTAAAATACATTAGTTTATTTTTCCAAGCTGACGAGAATTTGTTTGGATCATGTGTGCGTCGATCATGAAATTCGAGAGCAATAGCTGCATCTAAGCCAAAACTCATGTAATTAACAAAATGTGTATTTGGTAGCGACTGATGATTCTGATAGGAGGCGCGATTATTTTCGCGAATAAATTTCGGTTCTCTAAGTAATGGTTGAAGTATTTGACCAATATGAAATCTACTCTCGTGATTTTGTGGTCTCACGGAGCTCGAATTTGGTATATCGAATTGTTCAACACGAACTTGCCAACGATCGAGTGCAGTCACTTGAGCTTGGGGAATTTTTAAGAGCATAGGAAGCAGATGCTTTGAATTGTAATGTGCACCCCAGGCTAAAACACGTGAAAGATCATTGCAAGTTCCTAATGGGCAGATGGCAACCGGTGGATTATTGTTTGACGAATAAACGTCGGCTATACGAGAAAGAACCCAACTGACGGTTCCATCACCACCATAAATACCAATACGGGTATTCGGGAGCGAAATATAGATATCTAGAGCGTTGACAATGGTGGCATCGCTTTCTAAAAGAAACACTTGACGTGGATTGAGTTTTTGCAAGAGTTTTCGATAGATTTCCTCGCCATGTTGACCACCAGAATGCTTGTTTATAAAGAGAAGAGTGGGTGTATAGGGAAAATGGTTCAGTGCAGAATGATTGCCGACAGAATTCAAAGGCAATTCAGCTCGGAAACCAGATGAAGACTGATTGGATCGGTGTAACCATTGCGGTCGGACAATAATATTTCTATAGAAAAGAGTCAACATATCAATCTCAACTCATAATAGAGTTAGAAACAAAGAGACAATCACAACATATCAGGTAATTGCTCGATGAACTCTGGAAGTGAAATGGAATATTTCCAATGTGATTCGGAATGCGCACATTTATCAGCATATTTCAAGATTCTTTTCTGTTCTAAACAGCTCAGGTTTCAGAGCAAATCATCAATGAACAGCGCTGAGCAGTGTCCTGCGTGACTAACATTTTCAGTCACGATCACGGTCACGGTCACGGTCATGAAACAAAAATCTTTTCACGCACGTTCACAATCACGACAACTCAGAAAATTTTTTGCAAACACGATCGTGCTCGCGAACTTCATTTTCGAGTCACGATCACGATCACGATCACGATAAATGACCAAAAAAAAAAGGTTCGTAATATCATTATGACGGGAGGAGTAGGGTGGCCAAGGCCCCCCTGTCCCCCCCTCAGTCTTCTTTTCCTGAACAGGCTCTATACTTTCCAAGATTCGGAGAAAGACTAAGTCAAAATGTTTCAAAATACTGGTCACAATCACGGTCACAGTCACGAATTTGTTTTATCATTCACGATCACGGTCACGATCACGCGTGATGGTGATCGTGATCGTGACAGTCACGCAGGATACTAGCGCTGAGAATCTTTCAGGGGAATTATAATGAAACTGACAAGAAGTACCATCAAGTATTGAAATGAGCATCGAGGCCATGCAACATTTCCTCTTTAGTCATCTGAATAATCATCATCGAAAACGTACCGCAATAATCCATAGTCACATTTGATTTTGGCGTTTTCAGCATCGAGATGTTCCCAGCATCGTCGATGATAACTTTGGGAGCACCACAAACAAAGGAGGCCAGTTGATGTTAGAAATATTTTCGGCCGAGAACTTTTGGGTGAAGTGCTTGCAATTGATACATCCTGACATGTAATTTGTGAAGCAGATATCGCCGATGTCTGACCGATTCCAGTGGTGAACATACTAGCAGGTACTGCTTTTTGTTTACAATACACACATGGTTTGGTAAGAGTAGATACATAAGTCCAAAAGTGTTTATCGTAGTTTGATGGATTATCTTCGTCATCGACATACGATTCTTCCAACATCGGATTATCGACAAACGATGGACGACAAGATGGAAGAAGATTGTCTTCAGTCGCATGTGAATCATTTAAATGATGTGCATGCACAACTAGTCCACATGATCCACATTGCAGAAGTGGCATTTGAGCTGTTCGATTGCGATTTGAGCAAGTGGCATAGGAACAATGCTGAGCAGTCGATGGATAGCTGGATGTGCATGGAAACCAACAGTGTGATGTAGGACGAGCCCGATCACTCCAATCGATACCATATGAAACGCTATTGCAGTTATCAAATGTAGACGGCATTGAGGATAATGTCAATGATGTTGTTAGAATCCGCTGAGAGTCTCTGAAGATATAAAATCTCAATAACTCCATTGTTCTCCTCAAGCAATCCACACGATAAATACCTGTACTGATTCAAGACAACAGAGGGCGAATATTCGGTTGACTGACCATCCAGTGTTGAGGAGCATCGATCTCTACGTCCAGATTCTGAAACTTCTACCATACAATCAGTGGATGAAAGAGATGAATGAAGTTGTTCATCATCATGGTCATTTGTATGACTAATCAAGAATCGATGATGATTGAAAAGCAGCAATGGAGATTGTGACGAATCAGATAGGGTCG